TTAAAGCAACCCACCCACCGTTTTTGTCCTTTAACTTAACAGGGTCCAGAGGGCACAGAGTCAGAGGTAATCAACTTGAGTACGAAAGTCCCCCTTAATCCCACAAAAGAGCAAGTAGAACCGACTACATCAGCAGGAGAGCAAGAAAAACTACCACTTCCTGGATGGAGTGAGAAGATGGGTCAAGGAATCTTGACAGGTGAGTTTATAAGCAAGGGTCCTAATGAAGGGGGAAAAATAACTTGTATATATCCCTTCAAAGTGTTGTATTGAATGCTTATACATTAGACATCCCTCTGTATTAAAAAAATGCCCACTAGTGGGTGTTGTTTATCTTTGTAATGCCCTTCAGTGCTTCAAAGAAAAATGTTGTTGAAATAGCTTTCATATAGTTGTATTAGAAATGTTTTAAATGACAGTTTCTTTGCTGTTGTACATTCACCATCTCAAATATATCTCCATAGGAGCGCTTCGGTTGAGTGATTCACTGATAAAAGGAGCAGAAGCTACTGGTAGGGCCATTCACAAAGGAGCAGCCAAGATTCGAGACCAACTCACACCTGAAGAGACTCCTTCAGAGGTCAGCCCCAGTACCACCAAACGGCTGGAGATGGCTAGAAAGGCCACTGGGGGTGCTGTTCGAGTCAGCCAGTTCTTGGGTGAGCACTGCTTTGAAATAATCCAAGACATCATGTTTTTAAGTCATGGAATCTCTGAACTCTACTTCCAAAATAATAATGATCACCTTTCTGTATCTTTAGTGAATGGTGTAGGCACAGTGGCAGAAAAACTGGCAGAAAAGATGGCACCTCATGTGAAGAAACATGGTGCAAAACTGGTTCCAGAAGCTTTGAAGAAGAAAGAAGACGGCCAAGCTTCCAAAATGGATGGAGCCAAGTTTGTAGCGGTCAGCACTGTGCATGGTATGTACACAACTTCAGGATGTTCACAACAAGGTTACAGTGCAGTAAAAAAAAGTACTGAAATTAGTAGACTTGTTTCACATTTACAAAAAAACTCCATCCTGATGATTCTCAAGACTTTTGGAAAAATATTCTGTGAATTGATGAGACAATTTTTTGGAAGGTTTGAATCCCCTTGTCTGCCATAAAGCTAACATAGCATTAGTAAAAAAGAAGATCATACTATTAGTCAAACATGGTGGTGGTAGTGTGATGGTCTGGAGGCTGGTATGATGCTTCAGGACCTGGAGAACTTGATGGAAATCAATTATGCTCTGTATTAGAAAATCTTGAAGGAGAATATCAGGCCATCAGTTCACATCCTGAAGCAGAACCGTGTTTGAGTTATGCAGCAGGACAGTGACCTGAAACTCACCAGCAAATCCACGTCTGAATGATTAAAAAAAAAACCCAAATAAATGTCTTGAAGTGCCATAGTGAAAGTCTGAACTTAAAGCTAACACAACCAGTTATTAGGTTTAGAGGGCATTTACTTATCTTTTTCCAATATTAAAATTTGATTGATGATCTGAAACAACACCTGTGTGACAAATATGCAAAAACTCAAGGAGAGGGCAGATGTTTTTTCAAGACACTAAATGTTAATCAGTTAAAAAATTGTGCATAAACTGATACAATTCTCATATCATCACTAGCACTAACTCTATCACATTAAAGTTCTAAAGTATAAGGTTTCTAAAATCAGTGATATTTTGAACTAGGTTTGGCTACCATTTGGTCCAGTCTGGAGACTGGAGCAAAACTTGTTGGGAAAAGTGTGGCAGCAGAGACGGTCTCAACTGTCACTTACAAGTAAGTTCATATATTTTTATTAATTCATGCTTTAGTATCATGAGTGGATTAATGTTATCTTTTGTTTCCATCTTGTTTCTGAACCTGTTTGGTCATTTTAAACATCAGTACCAAGCTGGATCAGAAACCAGTCTGATTCTTACCTACTTTGCCTCTTTCTTCTTGGTATGGTGGTGCTCTGACCTGCTTTTCACACCTATTTCTTTTCAGATTTAGGGGCTTAGAGAATCTTTTAAACTTGTCCAGAAACATATGACTGCACAGCGGACTAAAGGAAAAGGCTTGTAAACTAACAGGTGTACCTGCTCAACCCTTTAATGCACACAGCAGTAAACTGTCAACAAGATAAATACAACACAACATAATGCGGAACTAACTTAATCAAAATGGCATTTCTTTCTAATGTCATACATGTCAGACACAGAAAGTATGTGTTTTGGTTTCTGTTTTGACTCTTTGTAATTTAAAACCTTGCCTAAACAGGATACGTAACAGATTGGGTTTTTCCTTTGCTCTAGCCCCATAAATGCAACACTGCTTTTATGCTTCATGTCTAATTCCCCCTGTGTGTTATGCAAAGAACAGTAATGGCTTTGAAAACATAGGTGACCTACACTCAGTGATATGCCTGAACACCTCCTGTGTAGACAAATACATCCCTGGAGTTGGTGCTACTGGGCTAATGTTCTGTTTGAGCTGTGGCTTCTGTGTAAATGGTAAATGGCCTGTATTTGTATAGCGCTTTTACTAGTCCCCCCTAGGGACCCCAAAGCGCTTTACACACCCAGTCATCCACCCATTCAAGACAAGCTACAGTTGTAGCTACAGCTGCCCTGGGGCAGACTGACAGAAGCGAGGCTGCCATACCGCGCCATCGGTAGGCGGTAGGTGAAGTGTCTTGCCCAAGGACACAACGACCGAGACTGTCCGAGCTGGGGCTCGAACCGGCAACCTTCCGATTACAAGGCGAACTCCCAACTCTTGAGCCACGATCGCCCCAATATTTATATTGTATCTATTGTGCATAGACACAATATAAATATCAGGTGTCTTTCTGGGTCTGTCCATGTTACTGTTACATGTCAGCTTGTGCTGGGTGGTGATGCTTATGCTCTTCATACTATTTATCTGTAGATATTTTCCATAGTTTGTTGTTAATAAACAGCTATAAATAATGATATGACTGTGTTTTCCTAATTCTTTTGTCTTTTTATGTGAATGACTGTAGTAAACAAACTTGCCCCAGATTTCAATTCACATGCTCATTAAATTTTCTTCCATCACACAACTCTACCACCATTTCTGTAACCTCACCTCATTAATTGTGGTGAAGGTACGGCAACAATGCAGGCGAAGCCACAAACACTGGTCTCCAGTCGGTGATCAACATTGGCGTGACTGCAAACAACATCGATAATGTAGGCATCAAAGCCTTTTTCAAGAAGGCCGGCAAGTGCACAGCCAAGGAATTGGCCGGAAAATCAAATGAAGAGAAAAAGTTGCAGAAGGAAGTACAAGAGGATGAGGCTGAGGCAAAAAATGTACAGAAGAACAAGGAAGAAGAGAAGGAAAAATATATTTCCAGTGCGTCTTAATGCCTTCCTGCATGTTTTATCTTTGATAGGGATCTTATGAAAAATAGACCTTTCAGTTCTTTGCCATATTTTGTCATGCCCATGTGAACATACTAGAATTAATTTAACACTGAATGAAGTTTTGCTTCTAATTTTAACTTATTTAAGTCTATGTTTCATTTGTATACAGATATTAAGATATTCATGTTATATGTACAGATAGTCTTCAGCCTTGTAATGTATGTATTCTTTTACTAATGTGATTAAAGGTTTTTATGATTTTTAGGCGCATTTAAGCATGAGATGAATTTATAAAATGTCTGTCAGGAAAACAGAAAAGCAACAAACCAAAAACTCCTGCGTCCTTATCGACGTTTCCTGATAAGCTGGTGCTGTGCCAAAAAAAAAAAAAGGTCGTCTGCCAAAAACTGCTCGTATTTAAACTATGAATAACTTGTTGGTCTATAATATGTGAAACATATGTCACATGTATCCCTGGTGGAGGATATCAAGTCATCTTGAGCCACAAACAACATTCGTGTAACAAGGTAGAAGCCGCGGTCAGTTTTTGGCAGTGACTTCTATATATCCTTTATTTTTACAGTTATAAAAATCTGGTTGATATTAAAAATGTGTTTTTAAGAGTAATCTGGCCAAGAGGATAGCAGATATTGCAACAATAGTTCTGTAAACATACTTAAAGTGGACAAAAAGGACCGGATTGGTTATAATGTAAGTGCAATAGAGGGAGTTATAAAGATACTTAAAAAACATCTAATTTTAAAATTTGATATATAACCCCTTTGTAAACCCTGTTCACGGAAGTCTCTCTACCAAGATAAGTAAAGATATTCCACATAAAAAACACACGGAAACACTGGAAATCAGTTTTTTGGCACGCGATCACTTTTTGGCACAACACCGGAAACGGCGGTTTCCGTAGAAACCCAAACAAAGCTTAGATTTTTTTCAGAAACATGGCTAAAGCTAGCGAGGACTGTAAATACGGTTTGGCACGGCTGCAGGTAGAACTGGAAAAGGAGAGGGGGATGAAGTAAGTCTGAAATAACAACAGAAAGACTTTTTTTGTTTGTTTAAATAAATGTTAACTTACACACTGCAAGAATAGTATAATTTAGTTCTTGGTCGTAGAGAAATGCTTGAAGAGTCAGTGTCTGATCTGCGGAGTACCATGAGTGAACTACAAGAAAGACTGCACAGTGTTGATGGGGAAGGTAAGCAAAATTAAAGTGACTGGTAGAATTGGTTGGTCAATTGGTTGACTAAATATCCGTGCTAAACAGCGCTTGAACAGGTGTAATAAACTGTCTAGTGAGTGTATGTGTTTAAATGTATGTTAGCTTGAGTACTGTTTACCACATGACATTACATTAGGACCTCCAGAAAATAAAAAAAGGTCAGACATGGTTCTCTTTTTGTTGTCGGTAATGTTTTCAGTCCTCAAAAGGACTATATTATGATGGTTTTCTATGTTTCTGCTGATGTATCAGGAAATGAGTGGAGGACAAGGTATGAGACACAGGTAGAGCTAAATGGGCAGTTGGAGCGGCAGATCTCACTCATCCGTGAGAGACTGGAAGACATAAGAGGAAACCCTGTGGGTAAGTTCTCAGGCTTTCAAAAAACTTGACAGTGAAAGCACGTTCATTATGTTGCAGTTTTTTCACAAGTGTTTGTAAGCAACCATACTATACCTCTGTGTATAGTGTGGTTATCTTTCTCCAGATCAAGAGTAGTGTCATCTGCAAAAACTCTTTTAAATACATGAGCTCAACATTTCCAATACATGAAGCATTTGTAATGATGATGCTCGTGTAAAATAGGCAACTTGGAAGGAAAATATTTTTTTGCATCTTTTAAATGATTAAAATGCATAATTTTTCAAATAAACTCTCTTTTTCCATTTAGTGCAATAAATAAGACAAGATGGAATACTTCCACCCATCTCGAGAAGTTTCTTTTTTCAGTATTATGCATGCACACATAATACTCAAATGCTCTTGTCTTTTTTGCAGACCGACTGGCTTCTATTCGGTCGTATGAGGACATGCCAGTGGTGAGCGCAAATGTTCATTTTCCACTGAGGGTTTGTCTTTATCTGTTTTGTTAAATTTGATATTTTCTTCCAAGGACAGTTTGACAAAGCGAGAGGGAGCTGCAAGTGTAAGACAGAAGCACGCGCCACAAGATAGAGCCAGAGATACAGAATCGGTTAAAGAGAGTGGACAGCACAGGCAGGACTGTTTGGCCAGCTGCTCTCTATTCTCCCGCTGATGCAGGATGAATAAGCCAGAGTTTAATCACAGCGCTGTAATCACAGGATTACAAACCATGGGAGAGTAATACACACTAATTACAATACTTTAAGGCACACCAAAGGTTGCACAATACAGTCTAAATATGTGTGTATTTCTTAGAGCAGTGCTAACAGATGCTTATTAGTGTAACCAAGGAAACAATATTGCATACTGGAAGTCTTTAGACAAACTGAGCATGACAGTATGAGAGAGTGAGCATGTGAGAGGAATGTTATCACGACACTGTTAATATGAAGGTAAATGAAAGTGTTCTGGTAAAGTAAGCAATACAAGAGCATGCTACCATGTCTAAAGCTCTAAAGAATGAGGCTAAGAATATTTCTGATTAGTGATCTCAGTGCCTCAAATGCATCCTCTTAGTGCCATACAACTCCAGGAAGAACACTTGGCTGATCCAAAGACATCAAACTCATATTCAGAGAGTGGTACTCATAGATTTCAAGTATTGCAACCTAAAACACTCTGCTCTCAGGTGCACAATGAAAAGACTGTTCCAAACCTAGAAAATTGCAAAGGTCTTACAGGTCTTTTCTGGGCTATAAATCTTACCATTTCAGAGGGCTAATGTGTTTATATGGTTATTAAAATATGTATGAGCTCAGTCCATTTTTGTACTCATGTTTTCTGCATTAACGATGCTGTTATTGTTTGATCCTGCGAGGCAGCATAGTGCAATTCAAGAACAAATTGATTGGTAATTCAGCAGCGTGACACCCTCGTCCTCTGTGGCCTCTTTGTTGTGATTTGTTTCTAATTAACGGGAACACTTTGGCACAGGAAACACTGAGACAACGTCTGAAGCTCCTGACCGGGGAGAAATCTGACCTCCAGAGTCAGCTAATGGATTGTCATCTTCAAATTGAACAAGAAGGAAAGGTGTGACTCCTAGCTGTCCCTTTTGACATAGAACAGTGAGAGGGATTGTTTGAGGCCACAACGTCTGCTGTTCTACTTTTGTTTTTTTGTTTTTTTTAATTTCTTAGCCAAGCAGCTTTAGTTTTTTCCAGGTAATAAATAGTTTACTTGTGAGTTGCCACCATTAGCAGTGGATTGAGAAAGATTTGGTTTTGTTTATTGTTCTGCTCAACAAAGAGAGAGATATTCGCTGAATGCTGGTTTAGCAAACGGCACGTGCAGTCAGTAATCCCTGTTGCTAATTAACATTGAAGACTTGAGAAGTGCACACACAAACATACACACATTTTACCCACAAGCAGATAGATTATTGCCTGATAGAACAAGCGTGGCTCATGAATACAAATTTGTGACTGTATATCTCGCTGTTTTTTCCAAATTTCAGGCTTTTCATAAAACCAATGATGAGAGGCGGGCATACCTGTCAGAAATTGCTAAGGTAAGCAGTCACAATCTTAAGCAAATACCCGTTAACGACTAATCCTTGACTGCTAAACACATGCTCTGGTAAGTGTTATACTTCTAATGGCATACTCTGCATGCTGTGTTTCTGCTTTTTTCATGCAGCTCTCATTTATTCTCCTGTTATATAACAGGTCAGTCTGCTCAGGCAAAAAAGGGAGTCAAGGACTTTCCTCTGTATGTTGCAACAAAACAGGTTTCTGCAGAGCGCAAGCTGAAGTGAAACTGAGTTCACTGTGTTTTAGAGACTGTGTCTCTAAAACACAGATGTAAAACTGCAGTTACTGCAGCTTTACATCATGTGTCTACAGCAGGGATGTCAAACTCTTTTACATCATGGGCCACATATAGCACACTCTGATCTTAAGTGGGCCAGACCAGAAAAGTACATTTAACTGAAGATTTAATCACTGAGATGTCTTTAATGTACAAAAATGTCAGTTTAATGGTGCATTTACGTTTTTCTTCATAATAATGTGTAACATTACAGAAAAAGGTTCTGGTAGCTCATTGACTGCCCACCTGTAAAACTGATGAAAATAAAGTTAAAAGTTCAAAATCTATGCACTTCTTCACATTTTTCCAGTGAGCCAGATTTGAGTCTTTACTGGGCCAATTCCTGCCCACGGACCTTTTGTTTGACACTCCTGGTCTAGAGTGGACTTGAATTACTAATCGGTATCTTCTCCTACAGCTGTCATCTACCCATGAAGCTCAAAGAAGACAGTACTTTGCACAGCCACAGAGGGCACCAGAGAGCAAACAAATGAGGTCTGTGAAGCACAAGGCCCACAAATTATGGACAAAATAACATAAACTGCAGCGCAATAACATGTTTTATAGAATGAATACAGAATGAGCTTCAATTTTTTATTTTTATGGTGTTTGGCTTAATTCGGATTTCACTTATTAATTTGGGAGGAAGCAATACATGTGTCACTGAAATCAGTTTTCCCTCGACTCCTTAACTGTGTATTCATGCTTGACAAACAATTCATGCTGTAAATAAATAAATAAATTCTGACATTTTCTAAGGCTGTTATTGACATAATGACTGTTATATAAAGCCACTGACATTGTTGTTTTAATCAAAGCAATTTTGGTAGATATAAATTGTACTTTTCTCCCTTTCATCTCCTGTTGCTTAGAGGGAAGCAGACTGTCAGGAAGGCAGAGGCTGATTCTAAGAAAGGAAAAGAGGGAGGAGAAGAAGATGGTGGCGAGGCCTTTGTGAAAGAAAGAGGAGGAGGTGATGGTGGAAGAATAGCAGAGAGAAAAGAAGAGAAGAAATTACAAAGGAAAAGCAGGTTACCCACGCTTAAGCACAACCCGAAGCACAATCCGTAACCCAAACTTAGTCATGTTGCTTTTGGTTATGCTTTAGTTCACATTGCAACTGATTATGTTGAAATACTGCAGTTTCTACACTAACCAGCCACTTAATTAGGTACACTTTGTACTGTCCAGTACTCAGCTGGACCTCCTTTTTCTTTAAGAGCTGCCATAATTCTTTATGGTATTGATTCAATAACATGCTAGAATAATTCCTCACAGATTTTGGTCCTTTTTGCATCATGCAGAGGCTGTACATTTGTTGGCTGCACATCCATGATCTAAATATCCCATTT